AGTCACTTCACAACTTTATTTTGAGAGTGCCCCTTTTCTTCAACTTCCAGGAGCGCATCCTGCTGGTTGTTATGAACACGCTGATCACCCCCACGATCTACCTTGCCAACTCCATCCTCGAGATCGTCCGCGGCGACGTGTCGTCAACCACGCTCGCGGCGGCATTCATTGGCCTACACTACTTTGCGTACTTTGGAGCGTTCAGCTTCATAGGTCAGAGGTTTTTCTTTGAGGTAAGTGGATATCTACTCCCCCGATGTACTTTATTCCACTGTAAAACCTGTGGTCTTGACAATCCGTAACAAAATTTGGCAATCCAAGTTAGAAGTTAGGCAAAAACTTGGCATTCAAGTTGCCTAGGTCTACAACATTTTGTCATTGTAAGTGGCCATAGGGAACTTCCCATGGACCTGAACTGTATCCGTATCCGGAGGTAATGGGGCCGTAGTGATGGGAAAGAGCGATTCAAAACAAAACCTATATGGGCTCAACAACGTGAGATCCCACATGGCGCCAAGGGTTTGTTTTGACTGAGCTGGACTGGTTATGTTTACTTTTGAAAGGATTTTTGACAGAATTATTCCTTGGGTTTCGCTTTGTCTTTTTACTACCTATTCGAGTCTCTTTCCTTTCAAATTGCAGAGCGCCAGAAGTAAGGAAATTCTTCACGGGTTTCTGGTGCAGGCAGACCCGCGACAAATCGAAGAGAATAACGAGGTATGCAAAATAACCTATTTGTGGATACGAGTCTACTGTGCCTGTATGGGTGGGTTCTAACTCGCGGGGTGGATATGTTGTGGCAGGTCAGTAAGTTTATCACACAGATCGAGCGTCAGACCAAGTACAGAGTTTGGGGACTGTTTCAAATCGACACTAACTTCACCTTAGGGGTAAGCACCAGCATAGGTCTCATATTGCCTTTTAATGGCTGATGGTGGATTTAGTCTCGTGACTTAATCCACCATAATATTTCTTTTCCCACTCGTGTTTCTTTCCATTTTGGCATTATTATTTTTATGTTTTAGGTTCTTCTGGCAGCGACAACCCACGTGGCCTTGCTGTGCCAGGTAGGCGCTTCATTCTACACTTAACGCACCACCGATTGCCAAGTGACAGAGGGCATGCAAATTGTCTACACTTTGGGGAACTTCAACTTCGCCATATTTCGTCGTTCGAACCGTCGCCCGTCACCATCACCTGCATGCTGGGGGCCGGCTGCTGAGCTGAGGTGACTTATCCAGGCAGGCGCTGTCCTTGTCGCTGTTCACTGTTTACATTCGAGTCGGCGCGGCTGGCGCGGCGTGCGTGGCCGGGCGCACTCACTCAGTCGACGCGTTCCTCGGCGCGACGCGGCGCGGCGCGGGCAGCTCCTCCAGCTGGCTGCTCCGATCCGGAGCGCTGGTCGCAGCCAACTGGTCGGGGTGGCGGCCGCCCCGCCCGGCCCCGCGTCGCCCCGCCGTTGCACGGCCAGCACGGCAGCGCCACCCCTTGGGGGTGCATCGCACGGCAGACACCCTCCTCTCCATTTAGGGGGGTGGGGGTGTAACCCGCAGGGGACCGGCCGCCCCAAGGTGACCTGCCCAGTATTTCATCCCCCCTTTGTAAAGTGCCGGGCCTACAAGACCCACCCGTTAACGTTGATTCAGTACCAAGTAAACTCCAATTAAAGAGATGGCCAAAACTTGGAACGTATTAAGTGTCATTAAACGTTTTTTGCGGAGAAAACTGGTTGTATTTTTATTTTATTTTTAATTATTTTTTTCATGTTTGAATGGAGCCCAGCTCGATTCAGTGCCAGTCGTGCCAAGAAATCGGCTGAGAGGCGAACAGGTTGTTCACTGGTAGGAAGTGAGCTCCCAAAGATCTCTGGGTGCAGGGGGTAGATGCGATGGCAGAAGCATCCACGCCTACCACCCCTGATTCCCTGCGCGTTTTAGCTGCAGCGGTATACTCGCGGAGTATTTCTCACAGAAATCAACAAGTTTTCGAGTGAACCTGATCGAGTTCAATATTATGCAACTGGTACAAATAGAGCAAACTATCTTATGTAAAAGCTTTATTAAAACTAGACTTCCACACAAGAAAAGTCAAAGAGTCAGTCAATGAAAAAAATATTGTAGTACAAGTTGTTTAATACAAAAATAGTTTTTTAAAAAAACATCACAGACAATCCATAAGATGATAAGAAAACAAAACAAAAAAGACTTTCACTGGCTCTCGTCAATGCTTCAAATGATTATTAGGAGCCTAAGCATACTGAGCCAGAGCTGCTGAGCACCCCCAGATCTTTTTAACAAAAACTGCAACAATTTCAGCAGTTGAGTATGTAAGCAGCTAATAATATTTCCTACTTTGAATTCTTCAATATACATGACTCAAAAAGGTTTACTTAGACAGCTTAACATTGAAATGATTTAAATGCAACTAACATATAGAAATAAAGGGCAAAGGAAAATTAAGAAGAAAAAAATATAATTGTAATGTCTACTTCATAATATAAAAGAGAAATAATTAGACATAAAATTTTTGACAAATGTTTGGTCAAAGCAATGATTAAAAATAAATACTTGGAAGAAAATATCTTGTTAACAGTTAGATGTTTCAGTCATCATCATCAATTACCTCACATATATCACTGTCCTCATCAGGTACACTTTCACCATCTGATTCAACTTCATTTTCTTCAGCTTCCTCTTCTCCCTCCTCTTCACCAACAGGTTCTTCCTCTTCTTCACCTAAAGGTTCTTCTTCTTCTTCACCTAAAGGTTCTTCCTCTTCTTCACCTAAAGCTTCTTCCTCTTCTTCGCCGCCATATTCTTCTTCTTCATCATCACCATGTTCAATAGTTGAGTTATCATGATCGTCATCATGCTCCCCATCCTCAGAAGAGGAGACGAGAGTGCCTTCACTGTGGTCAGCTAACGACTCGTTGCTCACTTCACCTTCATCCCCACCAACCTCCACTTCATTAATATTTGGATTGCAGGTTTGATTATAGCTTGATAAAAAAACATGGTCTCTCTCTTCGGCAACAGGTTCAACATCACTATTAATCGTCACCAGCTCACTTGAAACATCAGCAGGTTGGACAGCACTAACTTCCGAACACTCTGAGTAAAGAGGTTCATGATCAACTCCTGCATCTTGTCCATAGTACTCATAAGGATTATTTAAATTGTCTAAACTTATAAGATTTCTCTCTGATCCGTAATCATCCTCAGTATGCAGACCATTGTGAGCAGAATCTTCAGCAAAACTAGCAGCTGGTAGGTTCAAATCACTGCTATTATCCGTAATAGTAAATGGGTTTTTACTAAGAAGACAAGGTGGTTCTGAATTAGAATTATCAATCAGATGATTGGTATTCTCTTGCTCTCTTGAATCGTCTGAAGATATTGCCTGGACCTCCTCTTCCTCCTCTTCTTCATTTTCTTCTTCCTCTATTTCTTCCTCCCCACTTATGTAATCTTCACTATTTTGATAAGAATGGTTACTAGCGCCATTAGACTCATCACTATCGTACTGTTTCTTGAGGTTGACATGATCTTCATCATCACTATCAACTTGCTGCTTCTTATTCATGGTATTTGTGTGCTTCTTATCAAAGTGATGAGATCCATCATCAGAACTATAATCCTCACTACAACTACGACGCCGATGTTTGCGACTGTTGTCATTACTGCGATATGATGATCTTTCATCACTGAAATCCTCTCTCTCTGAGTCACTCTCACTTCTTAATGAACCACTTTCACGACTAGAAGGTGACGAAACTGTTCTCACCAAAGTACAATTACTTCTATCACCATCAGCAACTATTTCGAGATCAGAATCACTGCTATCATGTTCTCTACTGCCACACGAATTGCCGCTCTTTTCCACTGGTGTTCCATGTAATCTTTCCTGCATACGTCTCTGACTTTGTTCAACAAAAGGGCTGGAAAGAATTTTGTCAGAAGGAAGAAGAGTAGCAGACTCAGGAATCTTTCCTACACCTAGTCTCAAATCTGCAACAAAAAAATATTTTGTTTTAATTTTATTTGCAATCAACCAATCAATCAGAATACACACCACAGGAAAAACAGAATAGAAGTTGGTTGTTATTACCAGATAAGTTCTCAAAATTAGATTTAGTCCCCAATATTTGATACTTCTTGTTGAGAGAAGAAACAATATCATTCATAGAGGCCATAATTTCCCTCATACTTTTAGAAGAACTAGAAGTTTTTCCCTCGCTACTGCCTGTAATAAAAGATTGTATTATTAATGAAGATACAATGGTATTTTAGTAGGTATAATCAAAGGTTGGGAGTTTCAAAGTCAGGGGTAACATACTTTTGCAAGTGGATTGGGTCTCTGAGATGTCAACATCTTGAGTAATAAAAACAGATTTGTTAGTTGACACATTTGAAAAGTCATCATCTAAATCTGCTGGGAAAAAATGTCCTTTAGTGTTCTGAAATACTGGTAATAATACAAAACCATTGCAGATTGACTCAACAGCAAAATCACCTATAGTTTGAGCACTTGATAAACCAGCTGAGTTCACTGTGGTGACAATACTTTGAGAGGTTGAATCATCATATCCAATGTCCTTCATTTCATCCTAAAAAAAAAAAGAATGTGTGCATGTCTTAATGCTGCTTCCAAGCTGGACTTTAACCAGTGCTCCTGTTCATTCAAACATAAGTCACCACTATATCACTTACAGTTTGACTGTTAGTAGGATAATTCTCCTGATCATCTGAAAGTGCCTTTCTAATACGGTTTAAAAGAGACTCATTTACACTTTTTAATTCATCAACACTATCAGCAACTTCTTCCAACTGACCAAAGCCTAAAGAAACACTATTTGTCTCCAGCTCTTTAATCAAACTAACTTCTTTTTCTTCTTCTTCAACAGTGTTATCTGATGGAACAGTCTGATCAACATCCATCTCACATTCTCTTCCAGACCCATTCATTTCTAAAATAATAAAAGTTGGTTTTAAATAAGATGTAGATAAAAAATAAGGATAAAAAGAGACAGAACTCAGCTCCAGAACTAACCAAGATAAGATATGATGTATTTAGATTGCGCCCACCATGGATATGTATAAAGATTTTCTACATTTTGCGCTCTCATCAAACACAATATTTCACATCCAGGCCCAGATGTTTCCATATAATTGATTCGAGCTTCCATCCAATCCTAAAAAAATAAAAAAGGTATTTTTAAGTGTTTAGTTACAAAGTTTACAAAAAAAAAAAAAAAAAAAAAAGTTACAAAGAAACAAAAATTAAACACTGGGCTTTTAATAGCATCTCTTACCTCAATGAGGTTGACCCAAGGCATGGATTTTACTTTTTGAGTCCATTCTAGGCCATTCAAACATGACAGTCTGTAAAAGATACAAAATTTCCCATTTATGTTTCAATCGCCATTCCCAATGCCTATGAAGCAAAGTTTTCTACCTACCTCCTAAGAGTTTGCTTGTGTTCATCAGGTCGTAACCAAGAGCAATACTCAGTCAGCACATTATCATATGCCTCTTCAGACAAAGGTGGCCATTCGATTGTTGGTAGGCAAACATCTTTAATTACCTGATAAAGAGAAATTTGATTCAAAATCATACGTATAAATGATGAAATTTGAGGGAGTAAAGATGCCTTAACCAAAACAAACCTCTTGCAAAAGTTGATTGTAGTTGGGTTGATTCAAAAATGGAAGGAAAGCACCCTTATGAAGAAGTGGCCAAAATTCCTCTGCACATAAGTCTTTGGCCTCATTGTATGATGTTACAAACTCATGACACATGTGACTTAGCCACTCATTGCACAATCCAATAATAACATTTGGGTTCTGTAGTCCAAAGAAGCCATGTATAAATGCACAGGGTCAAAATGAGATTGAAAAACATGAGAGTTTACAATTTAAACAAAGAAACAACTTACATCAATGTCTCGTGGATAAATCTCACTACTGTTATAATTAAATTGAATAGATATATAAAACATTTGAAAAGTACTTCTTAAAACGTTCTTTAAACACACAAGAGAAAATTCAGGAATTGGTGTCCATGTCATCACCATGTAGTTGAAGGCCTGCAGTGAAAGAAGAAAAAGCTGATTTTTGGACTCTTTTTCAACCATAATCAATCATGAATAGGCACAAAACAATTCTCACCATGTTGAAACGATCTGAGAGGTACTTAATGTCCGATAGTTCTTGAACATGCAAGATTTGATAATCGGCAATTACTCCAGAGCCTAGCCACTGATCGAGTTCCAATTCGAGAACCAATTGCTTCAGTCCATCTATAGGTGGTTCTGAAGCACATACCACAGCAACCACAAGCGGAAAAGGTGGCAACTTGTTGGCAGATTTGAAGAGGATGTTTAAACGAGATCTGCTCTCCTGTATGTTACTGGCAGGTGATAGAGTAAATAGGACAGCACTTGTGCCAGAAACTAAACTGGACTGCTTTTCGAGCGCATAACACCCTTTAACTGTCTGCAAACTGGCATATACAGCAATTTCAGATGTAACTTTCAGACCACTCACAAGACGATAAACACCCTGTAAAAGAATATGGGAAGAAATTAAAGTCAACCAATAGAAAATTAAGTACATGTTACTGCATTAAGGGTAGTCATGAAAAGATTAAGCGTGCTTTTACCCTGTTAACTTCATCTACAAGCATGCTTGATTTCTGTTTAAATACTCTGCGCATCCACCAATCGATCATTTGAGTTGCTGGATCAAGAGATTCTTCTGGCAAAGACACAAACAATTTGTAAAGTACTTTATCAGTTGGCCGCAATCCAAGTTTGGAGCGTACAGCATCATATCTATGAACCGTTTGAACTCCAATAAGTTCAGCGAATGTTGTCTGAGGGTGTGCTGATATTGTTCTTATATCTGTATAGAGGGAAGAAAAATATATAAGGTAATTGAAATTGTACATGTTGTTTTGGGCGAGATTTTACAAATATTTCTCTATACCTGAGAAGTCAATTAGTTTTTCCTCTCGCTTTGATGCAGAAATCTGCATATTTTCTGGAAATCCCCACCGCTCAGCATGTTCTTTAATGCTCAATGGAATAACACTGGCAGGAAAATCTTCCATCACTCGCCTCCTGTGAAGAGACCGCCGTGCCCTTTGCAACCAATGATAAAAGACTTTCTTCACTCGGCACTGCACAGCCTCTAATCTAGAATGGACAAAATTTAATTATAAGAAAAGGGTATAGAATAAAAATTGTCTCACTGACTCAATACATATTTTTAGCAAACCTTGCCACATCTTGCAACTTCTTGAGTTCTTCTGATGCTATATCATCACACATTTCTTCAGTGACAAGATTGATCAGAGCACTTGTGGATTCGTCAGACACAGATATGATTTGTCTAACAAGTTCCACCTCAGATGAATAGGATTCGAACGCTGTATCAGATATTAACTGTGTAACAACATCATGCATAATCTCTGTAAGGGAATCATTGGAAATTCTTTCTATGTGGGAATCTAGAATTCTTTTCCTCAGCTCCTCCTGTGCTCGAAGCTGTTCCTCAGCTCTCCTTTGTTCTTCAGCTTGTCGCTGCTCCTCTTCAGCGGATTTCCATTCTAAATGAACAATTTCAGTAATAGCCTCCCGTACACTTGACAGTAAAATATCATCGACCAAGGATTCTGAATGCTTGTCAATTGATGCAATCAATTCTTGAGCTTTCTTCTCTGCCTCAATCTTAGCATTGGAGTCATCAACAAAACTTTTTTGGAAAACTGTGCGTGTGAGAGGTACTACACTGCTCGATGCTGGTGGTGTGTTCAATTTCCCAATCTGCTGTAACTCAGAAGATGCATGGGCATGCTGCGGCATTGTAAAAGCAGGTGAGAATATTGGACTTGGAGATATCCCGAAACCAGTTCCAGTATTTGATGAAGGATGAGACAATGTTGATGTAAAAGAAAACTTCGGATTATTTAAGCTTCCAAAGTTTTGAGGCAAAGTCTTCTGAAAACAGACACAGAATCAAATAAATAAATACATAAATAAGGAAGGGTCAAGTTTAAACCATGATTTTTTGGGGCAAGTAATAACTAATTTTTTAAGCTTACAGTTTCACTTAAGAGAGGTGGAATAATCTTAGATGACTCTCTTTCAGTTGGTTGGCTTCTATTTTCTTGAATCTGAGAGCTTTCTCTATCACCAGCTTTCATTTCCATATCTGGCACACCTTGGTCTTTAGCATACAAGGCATGTTCATACAAATATCCATTCATATCAAAACTATGATGGACGTTATGAGTCTCAAATGATCGTGGTGGAAGTGTTGCTCCATTCACAACCTAAAGAAGAAAAATAAGATAGACAGATTCTCTTCAACATAAGACAAAATCCAAAAAAACACTAATACTTACTTCACCAACACTCCCGACTTTCTTGGTTTCCACCATTTGAATAGCACGTACTGATGCTAAGACAGAGGTTGGATTCTTTAAAGTGTCTGGAGACAGTACAGCAGTGGCACCCAAGGATTCATTTTCAACCATGAGCCCATAGTGTTTACAAAATGCAGTTGCTTGTTCAACATTTTCAAAGCCAAGGTCTTCATAAAGGGACGCCATAGGATACTGTGAAAAACAAATTAATTTTGATTAAAGGTAAAGCTAACCTGCTACTTCAGTTAATACAGCTAAGTACCATGCTATTAATTAAGGGAGCTCCTCTTTACCTGGACTGGTCTGAATTTTGCAAGGGCTTTCACGTGGGTGCGCAGTGCATTAGCTCGAACTTGATAAAAATAACGAATACATAGGCAACTATTCAAATATGACGCCCGTCTCACCAGACGAAAGAACCTGACATAATTGTTTGAGGAAAGGGTGTTGTACATTGCAGCCACAAAACCAATCTCAGGACTTCTGAGGACTTCTTCACGAAGTTGCTCCATCTCCCTGTAATCAAATTATTCAATCAACTCTCACAACTAGAGGTAAATGAATTATTTAAAACAATTTAAATAGAAATTTAAAATAATTTAAATAGAAATATGAGTAAATTTCAATAAAAAGAAAGCCTTATGAGTCTTACCACATAATTGTCCCGTTATTCAGATTAAGCAGGAGAAAATAAGTGACAAATTCAGGTTCATTTTCACATGTGACACTATTGTTTGTCCACAAATCATGGTACATATGCTTCAATGTTTGTAAGCATTTTGTAAGATTTTCAGTATTTATACGATCATCAAAGACACTTGGGTCTTCGGCAACTAAGCGTGCAGCACAATGAATATGAAATCTTGCACATTGCTCTACAAGACGTACTGCATCTGTGTCACACAACTCTTGCTGAGTAATTTCCTAAATTTAAAGAAAGATATTAAATATACCTTACACAACATGATACACATGAGCAAATAGTGTTGTGCAGAAACATTACCTTTCGAATTCCCCGAAGTCTATCCCATAGGAAGTGATACCACTCCCCTAAATTTTCACCGGGTTGATCTCCTAGATTCATGATGGTGTGCATCAAATAATTCATTGTCATAGTTAAAACAGATGGTGGACGTAGCTCATGTGGGAGAGGCTCTTCTTGATCAGCAGAACTTCGTGAATACTGCTTCACCATTAAACTAGGTACCATTTCATTGGGCTGTGAGGATCACCAAATGAACTTAAATATACAGAATAATGTGGTGCATTTTTTATACAAACAAATTGCAAAGGTCAAAATGTACCTTTGAAGGATGTGTCTCATACTGAGATATTTGTCTTCTTGATTCTCTCAGCAAGCGTTCTTTTTCAGGGCACATGTCCGGACATGTTCCAACAGTTTTCACAGCCTTTGATATGTCATACTGCTTAACTTGTCCTAAAAAAACAGAAAAGGGTTAAATCAAAATGAATCAGTAAAACAACTATATATTTAATACAATCACACAATACTACATACTAAGCCTCATTAATTTATCTCGTGCATCCAAAACTCGTAATTTGTCATCTGTTGAGACTGCTTGTTGCTTCAAAATTTCTAATAATTCAGACATAGCGGCTGTAGACACTGCAGTTGATTGAGGAACATTTGATTCTGTTTTATCTTGGTTCATCTCATCAACCTCTTCCTAAAATGACAAATTTTAAAATATTAAAACACTCTTTCAAAGCACTTAGAAAAAGTGTTGACAATTGTCTGACCAAAATTACAGACCGTTTTCTTTGAAGATGGTACAACCCTGGCTCGAATGGGCAACTTTTCATCACCTCTTGCTCCCTTTCGAGCTGGAGGCTTACTTGATTCTTTACGTATTTCAGATCCAGAGAAGGCACTGCTGGACCTATCAAAAAACATACAATTATGATCAACAGACATTAGGCAAAATGAAATATGCACTTCATGAATCTTTTTATCTTTTATGCCATGTAAAGAAATGCTGTACCTTTTTCCAGAATCATTTATTTCACTTTTTCCTTCTAATTCCAAGTCAAGGCCAACTGTTTTGGGTCGAGATTTTCTGCGAGAATCTAGCTCTACCCCAGCTTTTCTCTTTAAGGAAGCATCACGAGGAATGAGGTATGAATCCATCCCTGAAATGGCCTCTAATTCTTCCTGTACAGAAGAATCTATTTCCATTTCAGATCGTCTAGAGGGTTTCTTTTTCTGCTCTGGTGACTTCACTTCCTCAGTTGATTTACTCCTGGCTTTTGATAAATTTCTCCAAAAGGTTTTATATTTAACTCCATTGATAACTTTGCTTCCCCTGATTGCTGCTACGGCCTCTTCCTGTATTCAAATAATTGACAAATTAAATTTAACTTCCTATACCTACAGAAAAAATAATAGCTCAAAAAAATTGTTACAGCTTACATGTGTCTTATATGTTGCAATACAATAGGGCTTCTCTTTGCTTTTACTAGTTGTCACATGAGCTAGGCCAAATTGATTGAAATGACTCTTAAAAACCTGAGCTTCAGGAAGATCACCATTTAATGGGTGACAAATAATAGATCTTGATTCTTCGACTGGCTGCTTACCTACAGTTCAAAAGAATAGGGCAGACCTCAGAAACACAAAAGCCATCAACTTAATACTAATTCACTAATTACTGAATAATTTAAAGTCAGAAATAATAATTATCCTTTTATGCTGATGAAGACTTACGGTCAGAGGACTTTGCAACATCAGCAATGGCTTTTCCAAAAACGGTTCGTTTGATTTTAGTAGACCTAGAGCTGTCATGACTTTGACCACTAGGTTGATTTTGATTTTCTTCTCCAATACTGTCTGGTTCCATGTTTCTAAAATGTTTTTGATTTGTCTTTGACAGGAACCCTTCTCTTTTCTCTGATTGTTCAGTGGGTTCCATATTGTGAGGTAGAGATGAGGAGACAATGTCACTAGAGGAGAGTTTCCCAAAGGATGTTTCAGGATAGCTGAGCACTTTAGCAGGGGTACTTTTAAAAACATTCCTTGGTTGGTCAGAGCCACCATCAGCACCCAGAGATGACAGCGAGAAACCTGAAGGATGAATAGAGTCTTCCTTCTTGCTGGTAGCTCCACCAAATATGCTTCCTTTGGAAGAGCTTGCTGCCTCGATGGGCTGAGAAGTTGCATTGGAAAAAGGATTTACCACTGCATTGGGAGTTTGAGAAACACCGAATGTACCCTCAAACACACCAGATTGCACCACCTCAGATTTGAAAGGCGCTTCACCAAATGTGGATGTTTTACCAAAAAAACTTGGCTGGGAAACATTGGTGCTAGCTTCTGTCTTTGGTAACTGTAATGACTGAGAGCTATTTGTATTTGTTTGGAAGGTGCCACCAAATATGTTCTGCCTTTCTGAGGTAGGAAAGGCACTTTCTGAGGGTTTTACAAATGCTGATCCTCCAAAGATGGTGCTTTTGGAGAAACTTGATGGGCCATTTGGAGCTGGTGAACCGAACACTGATTTCAGACCCGTAGCAGCAAACAGGTTTGGAGTACCTGATGAATCTTGGTAAGCTGAAGAATTTTGTGGATCAGCTCCAGATGTGTTTGGCTGCTGGAAGGGTACCCCAAATGGATGAGGCTCCCCCATTTCAGCAGCTAAGATAATTATTTGAGGATGTCACCATAACAATCTTCCTTCTGGCCTCCTAAAAAATAAACAACGGAAAACATGAGGTGCCAAATACACTAGAAAAGTATAAACAATCAACGGTGTTCAGACAAATCAATTAAACTCATAACGTTTATCACAACCAATACGTAAAGGTGGCAAGTTATAGTACAATTTGAATGAAAGTAAAAATTAAACTAAGTTAAACCAAGGACCCAATAACCTCAAACTAAACAGACACAAACAGAAAAGTTAATCTAGAAAGGGTATTTCAGCAAATCAATATTATAACACACATACCCAATTACAGAAGTCAGATAGACCACTCAAAATGAGTACGTCTCAAATGTCACTGTGTTGTTTTGAATTTAATGTTGCACCACAACTTAATGCACACAAGTAAAAACGAACAAGCTTTTCCCTAACTGTACACCATTACTGGAAGTATGAGAAACTAGGACGTCTGTGTTCGGAGGGAAAAGTAAAAGCCTATCAGTTGTTGAAAAAATATTGAAGTTTTTGATTTGAAAAAATCAGAAGAGATAAAGAAGCGAAAAATACAAGATAATACTGATAATAATTTAATTTGCGTAATGAGTCCAGTCTTCAAACTGTATACAAATAACTGCGTTCTGGAAATCGGATAGAAGCATTGATGGTTGGTACGACAGCAGTGGAGTGGAGACCGCTTGAATTCAATTTGTTTGCCGAGCCTGCGCAGGCCTGCGGCTGACTTTCATTGGACTTGAGAAAGGACGGCCGCCTGCAGAAACGAAGCAATGGGCCGAAGGAGTCACTTTCGGTCACTTTAGACTTCCTTCGGACCCCTGTCGGCAGTTCTCGGTTCGTATTTCTCGGAATGGGGATGGTCGACGACTTGTTGTGCCGTGCCCCTCGAGACTCGAGTGCTACCCGCTACCCTGTCACACTCATTTGGTCTTCAGGAAAGGCGAAGAGAAAAATGAGAAGTTCTCTCTGTCTCTCAGTTTGTTTGTTTCAGTCCAGGTGGTTCCCTCCAGACCTCTGTAATTTCTAGATTTTTTCCCCTGGGCATATGCTCGCAAATGGACTTGAAGATTTCCAATGGAAAGGTATACCAACATGGTGTGACTATTGTGTTATCGTGACAATATATCAGCTATAGGAAGTTTTCGAATTATAGTCATCAGTGGAGCATGTGCAGTAGTTAATTCATATTGCTATAACAAATCTAGCCGTTTGGGAACTGAGTCAGCTGGTGATGAAGGAATTATATCAAGTTTTAGAATGAAAAATCTTTTATTATTCTCTGTTGTTTTTACAGTTTTTTAAATTTACAATAAGAAACTATGACATAGATATGACAATGTAGTGATGCATTTCATTAACTACATTGAACAATTTTATGAACTAACAGATTACCGTAATTAATAAATTGATCATCTTTGGTATAGACTAGCAGTCAATGTGTTGGGAAAAAATTTGTTTATGCCACTATCTTTTCTTAAGCTTTTTGAGTCATGAAACAAGCAATTCAAAGAAGTGATTATTACTAAAGTCAGTTTCACAAATGCTTTCAAGCACACAAAGACTGGACGCCCTATGTATCCTAGATGTATTTGCATTATCATTCCACAACACAATAATTCAACATTAGCATTAAAATTGATACTGTTTTAGAGTTACAGTATTACTTTTCAGAGATGTGGGCGCTGAGTTCTAAAATCAACAACACTCTAAATTCCTCCACTGTTTTTGTTCTTGAAAAGTGCATAAAGTTAATCCCATTCAACACATGACTAATTTATAGAAGATTCCTGCACTATTTTTAACAATGTTTTAAACTTAACACACACAAAAAAAAAAATCACAAATCTACTACTTAACAGTAATTTTGGAGAAATAAATATATATTTGCAGGTAACATTAGAAGGTTCTTATGATGGGGCTCCATGTAAAACATCAGCCAAAAGCAATGTGTGCAGAAATGTATTTTGCACTTTTGGCGTAAAACTTAAAGTATGATGTGATGTGTTTACAAAACACATTTAGTGAAAGTAAACCTAGAGACATCAAAATTGTCAAAATCTGAATAGTTGATGTACATAAAATAACATAAAAGGTAACTTTAATTTCTTTCTTTTCCCCACAAACAACATATCATTTGCAGGGGTAATCTATAATAAAATTTTAAAGTTAAAACAATTACTCATTATAAAACTTGGCGGGTTGAAGGCCAATGTTTAAAAATGAATTATGCTATCTTTGGAAAAGTTTAAAACACGATGGATTTATGTTCAATTTGCATCAGAAATTACTTTCTCAACTAAAATAGAGCAACAAGTTCTGAAAAGAAAATCGGCTACAACAATTTAAAAAGTATTGTTTCACACTGTATTTAGAGTGAAATAGATACAGTATAAATTAAACTTATAAATTTGTAGAAAATGCTTGCAAAAGTTCAAAGATTGGCCACATATGCACAGAGAACATGGTCATTACTATTAATAATAATATTATCTGTAATAGCTGCAGCAGCCATAAGGTTCAGTATTTGAGACTGATTCATTTTATTTTAATGTCGAAAAGCACAGTGCAAAGAAGACATTCCTAAACCTATTCATAAGCAGACAGTCCACCCTGGTACTGCTAAATTTTAACAAAATAAGTGCCCTATTGTAACAATTGGTGGCAAGAATAGTACATGATTAATCTTTGCCTGTGGGGACACACACAGTTACTTTGGCTCAGGTACACAAGTATTAATATTTTAGAGTAGGACAAACAAAGTCTTCATTTTACAAAAGGAAAGGATTACACAAAGAAATCAAGGCCATGGCTGCTTAGGCAGTCAGCCTTGGCTAGAACTCATGTAGTCACCTTTGCTTCGCAAATATACCTGTCCACTACTCTTGATGCATTCTGTTTCATTTTGAAAACAAATGCAAAGAGAACCTGGATAAAGAAAACATATAAATTAGTATAGAGAAAAAGATTCAGTTTTGCTCTATAAAGGTACAAGAGCTGCCGGCTACTCACATTAAATGTAGAAATAGTTTTCATAGTCTGCATGCAGATTAGCAAATGGAGAAGAAGTTGAGGGTGCAGTTGAGGACAGTGGCATTGGCATCACCCCTCGGGTGCTGACGGGAGCTGAGCTAGGGATAGATGCCAACTCTGGACTCCATTGAGATTGCTGAAAGACCAAAAAGGTTGATAACTTATTGTTTAATTTGGAATCTAATTTTGAAGATAGTCACATTAAAAATACTAATATTCCCAATCTTACCTTTCCCCTACGAATTCTATATTCAGTATTTCTGCGCACAAGGAAATGGAGTTGATGTTGTGGGAGCCACGCTTGTTGAACTCTCAATGGGTAGTCATCTGGATGCAGTTTCCGTTGATACTCTTGAGTGCTATTGACTTCGTAAAGAGAGAACTGCTCCACGCGTTCTTTGCTATTGTAACAGTTCAGCAAGATTTGGAGAAGTTCATCCACAGTTGTCCGCTCGGAGATTAAAAGACTTTTATACTGGGACTGTTGGCCGAAAGAAAAAAAAAGAAAATTAGTAAACGGTTCACTTTTTCAAGTACCATGAGCATATGATTCAATAATACTCACCCCAGGCATTAGAGCACTGTCGTATATCTTGACTAGACCACCACGCCTTGTCTGAAGAGCAAACCTGAGCAAAGATCAAATAACAAGTTGAGTATTGGCCTTGATTGTAGAAGACAACTTGCTCGTCCTGGGTACGACTTGTGTCTACTACACCTACCTGGAGTCGCCAGTGGGGTGGCACGCCTGCAGGGCGGCGGGCCTGGTCTCCTCGTCCAGCACCAGGACGGTGCGCACGCCCGCCCTCCGCACCGTCACCTCCATCGTCAGGAAGAACAGGTTGGGGTCGCGGTGCCGCATGCGGTACTTGGACAGCAGCGCCTCCACCACCTCCCGGCAGGTCGTCCGGAACGTGATGCCCAGCGTCTTGTACTCGATGTCCGGGCGCAGGCAGCGGGCGTACACCTTCACCGTCGTCGTCTGTGCGGGCAGAAAAGGGGAAAGAGCGACGCGTTAGAGCGTGACACAGACACAATAGATGGTTTTACAGCTACGTACTACATCTGGGGTTCTCACACACGTCTCTGAGCGTAACTTTAATCACACACTAAGCTGCTCACCCCAAGGGTAATTAGGGGTGGACGCCCCAAGGCCAGACGACGGCCAGCAGGGGGTCCCCGTGTGAGTCACGGGGGCGCGCAGAGGGCCGCCGTTCGCTCGTGACAACCGGATTAACACTGCCCACCAGATGAAAGGGAACGCCACATCCAATGAGATGAGACGAGCCAATGAGGGTGGGGCGGGGCGGGGTGCGGTGGGGCCCCAAAGGCGTCCCGCGGGCGCACTCTCTCACACACACACGGGCAACGGCCGTGTCGTCGGCGTCCTTTCAGGTAGATGGAGAGGCGTGAGGGGGGGGGGGTATGAAAGCTCGAGGTAATTTCAAATTCCTCCTCACCATTTTTATTTTCATTTCCCCCATCCTCATTATTCACCTCTCTTTTAGAGTTTGAATGGGTCATACTCCCCTCCCCCTTCCCCTGCTCCCTCGGCCCGTCTAAACAAACAATAACAGACAAGTCTGATGAGCGGCGCGGTCCGGAATGCCGCCACCACCCCGCCCCGCCCCGCCCCGCCGCGCCCAGGGCCGCCCGGCGGGGCCCAAAGCCATTTAGGCCCTTCGACCAAAACCGCAAGAAGCGCCATAGCGCACCCGCCAGCCCGGCTAGCCGCCCCCGCCCGGGACCGCTGCCCGCCGCCGCCGGCATTCCCCCGTCCGAGGGGAGGCGGGGGAGGGAGGGAGGGT